TGACAATCACAGGGAGGTTTAATGAACACTTAACATATCACAGACTTGAAGTCATATTTACGCAAGTAAGTTAATTATGGGATATTAATTGAATTAATTGAATGAGATACATGAATGCAGCGATAGTCCTCAGTCCTTGAATTTTATTGTATTAGCCATTCAGAAGGTAGTCTATTCTCTCTCTCTCTCTCTCTCTCTCTCTCTCTCTCTCTCTCTCTCTCTCTCTCTCTCTCTATATATATATATATATATATAATATATATAATATATATATATATATATATTGTGTATGTTATATATATATGTATGTGTGTGTTGTGTGTGTGTGTGTGTGTGTGTGTGTGTGTGTGTGTGTGTGTTTAGTCCTCGTTATAGGAATGCAGTTTCATTGTTGATTTTACTGATCATTTTCGAGGCTTCCCTCTGCCTTTCAGACGTCAGGTCGGCACTGCAAGTTTCCATTACTCAATTTGCTGGGAGAAGGATATAGAAAGTAATGAATGCATGAGATTCGACGTTTTTAAGTGTAACATTTTATAATTTTTTAATTATTTTTTTCTTTATTATTATTATTTTTTTTATTATTTTTTTTTTTTTTTTTTTGAAACACGATTATCGGCCTCTGCAAATCATTAAGGATAATTTCATTCAAAAATTCCATAAGGAGGCCGCAATGAGACAGTGAAACAGGTGAGAATCCAGAATAACATAATATGTAATTCGTAATGTGTTTCTCATTTATGTTATTGAAATGCTTATACATCTCTTTACAAAGGCATTTTTTGTAAAAAAAAAAAAAAAAAAAAATAATAATAATAATAATATAATAATAATAATAATAATAAATAAAATAAAAAATGAATAAAAATAAGAAAATAAGATTAAACGTTGTAATCGATGTGTGGCTATCGTGATTGAACTCAAGTTGCCAGTTATTCCAGTTCCAATTCCTTTTTTTTATAATACCACATATTCAAACATTAATGTTGACATGGGCAAAGCTTCGTAAGGATTCCAAACTTTCTAAAACATAATTCTAAGGCAGATATTGGTTATAAACACTGTTAACTGCGTGTGGAAGCCGAATACTCTTGACCCAAAGAGCCAAAATCACTCACGCCACTTCTAGGTATAAGATTCCATGTGGCTCGACCTTCTTTGAACAGTTATGCAAGAACAAGAGAGTAAAGAAAATCCATTGAACCGACTGCGAGTGGAAAGCCTTAGAGGAAGAGAAAGTCGTCCAAATCAGGGAAGGGATATGTTGCATAGACTTAAACGTACATGAAAACAATGTATGTAAGTCGATGTTTGTGCTTATATTTCGGCGTTTGTGTGCGCGCGTGTATGTAGGTGTGTCTCGTCTATGTGTTACTACCTATCTGTATGTACATGTACGTGTGACAGTACATATATCTGTATGTATATGTACGTGAAATGAACGTACATATATATCTATGTATATGTACGTGTGAAATGAACGTACATATATATCTGTAACGTATATGTACGTGTGAAATGAACGTACATATATATATGTTTGTATATGTGTGTGAAATGAACGTACATGTATCTGTACTGTGATTAACGTACATATTTATCTGTATGTATATGTACTGGTGAAATGAACTACATATATATCTGCTGTATACTGTACTGTGAAATGAACGTACATATAATATCTGTATGTATATGTATGTGAATAACGTACATTATATTTGTATGTAATGTACGTGTGAAATTACCCCAACGTACATATATATCGTATGTAGTACGTGTGAAATGAATGTACATATAATCTGAATGTATAGTAACGTGTGA